TATAATAAAGCAAATGAGCAATTAGGTTATATTCTAATTCTATCATCCTCAGTATCATTGAGAATGGAAATGGTGAGCATGGGAAAAACAAAAACAAAAACGAAGATGTTCAGACAGTAAGAAGAGGATGAAGAGGATAATTTAAAATCCTCTAATACTGAACTTGAAGTGTCATAATGAAATCATGAGATATATCTGTTCACTGAAAAAAACCTGGAAACAACGACCATTCCAGTAGCAATGGGCATTCCTAGTACTCAGAATGTGAAACACAATTTCCTGTTAAAAAAGGAATCAAGGGGCCGGCCCGGTGGCGCACTCGGTAGAGTGCGGTAGCGCTCCCGCCGAGGGTTTGGATCCCATATAGAGACCGGTCCGCTCACTGGNGAGGGTTGCGATCCCGTTGCCAGTCACGAAAAAAGACAAAAAGGAAAAAAAAAAAAAAAAGGAATCAGGGCTTCTTGTAGAAAAAATGAGTGATTCTGGGTTTATAGCAGGAAATGAAGCCTAAAATACCTTGGCAAATAAATAGCAAAGAAATCAGCAAAGACTACTGAGGTCACATCAAAGGGACTCAGAAGCCAATTTAGGGAACATCTCCCTGGCCAAAGATAAGACAATTTAAGTATTAATAAGGATTTTAACTATAATAGACTGAAACACATACACTTAGATCCATAAGTTCCTAATTTTTAAAACTCTGATTACTTTGGAAGGTTGCTAATGAACCAACTCATTATTTTTAAATGTAGTAAATAAAGAATAATTAAGCATTTCTATGGTCTGAATATTTGTGTAACCCCCTCCCAATTCCTATGTTGAAATCATAACCCCAAGGTGACGGTATTAAGAGGTGGGGCATAGCACAGACTTACAACACCAGGATCACAGGTTCAGATCCCATACCAGCCAGCCGCAAAAAAAAAAAAAAAGAGGTGGGGGCTTTTGGGAAGTGATTAGGCAAAGCCCTCACAAATGGAATTTTAAAAAGCAACCCCAGAGAGCTAGCTAGCCTCTTCCACCATGTCAGGACAGAGGAAGAAGTTGCCACCTATAAGAAAGCAGGTCCTCACCAGACACTGAATCTGCTAATGCCTTGAGTCTGGACTTCCCAGGCTTCAAAACTGTGAGAAGTAAATATCCGTTGTTTATAAGCTACTCGGTTTATGATATTTTATGACAGCAGTCCAAACGGACTAAAACAAGCATTTATCCTGTCTTTTCTATACAAACTATACGACTGGATAACCAAATAATAGATAAGGAGAAATTTCTCTTCATTGAAGTTTCCCAGATAATAGATGAACGAGAAATAATAAATTTAGAATATCACCATTTTACGATTCCTAATGAATCAAGAGATCTCAGCAATGAGCATCAAATGGCTGCTACCATCACAAAAAGAGAGACAACCAGACATTATATGCCTCTTGATGGAAAAAGACTATACCACCTATGAAGTAGATTTCTCAAAAAACGAATCTGAATTTGATCAAGCCTCTGAGCCCAACTGCCAATTTGCAGGAAATACTGATGACAGAACATGTTAAACTACACTATGGAGACGCAATCAGCTGAATCCAGACTGAAAATTCTACGGGACTGTCTATTTTCTTTCACTGCAAACAAAATTAGAAGGAAAAAAGAGTAATAGCTCAGAATAAGACATTATCAATTAATCATATTGTGTGAATTTTATATGGATTCTGATTCAAATAACTGACATATATACATACACTCACATACACGCACACACACAAAAACAGGAAGGCTGACCAAATACTTGATATTAAAGAAATTATTGCTTATTTTTTTTAAGTATGATAAGTCTGGAGTCTTTTAGGGATACATACCAAAATATTTACAGAAGAAATGGTATCTGGGATTTGCTTCAAAATACAGGGAGGAAGAAAATGAGTGGTCATGACTTGATGTGTCAGAATAAACTATCCAGAATGCAACAAAAAGATGGAGAATATGGATGTAAGAGGTGTAAATAGAGGGCCGGCCCGGTGGCGAACTGGAGAGTGCACCGCTTGGGAGCACAGCGGCGCTCCCGCCGAGGGTACAGATCCCATGTGGAGACCGGTTCCCGCTCACTGGCTGAGCGCGGGCAGCGGGCGCTCCCGCCGAGGGTTCGGATCCCATGTGGAGACCGGTTCCCGCTCACTGGCTGAGCGACAGCGGCGCTCCCGCCGAGGGTACAGATCCCATGTGGAGACCGGTTCCCGCTCACTGGCTGAGCGCGGTGCGGGCGCAACACCGAGGGTTGCAATCCCGTTGCCGGTCCCCGGTGCGGGCGTGACACCAAGGGTTGCGATCCTGTTACTGGTCAGTAAAAAAAGGACAAAAAGGAAAAAAAAAAAAAAAAGAGGTGTAAATAGAGATTTAGCACAGATTTAATTGGAGTCTCAGAAAGAGAGAATGATTTGTGGCTAGGACTTCCAGAACAATACTGAAGTTGTGACAGAGAGCAAACTTCCCTTAACCCTGATTTCAAAGAGAAACTTCTAAAAACTTGCTGAACGTTTTTTTGTAGATACTATCAGGTTAACAAATTTCTTTTCTATTCCTAGTCTTCTAAGGAAGACACTAAAATGAGTTCCCCCCCACAAAACATTTTCTTTCCCTCCCCCAAAAGCTGCCTTCACCTCATTTCTTGACTGCAAGGCCAATAACTAGGGTTAAATCCTAGCATAACCCAGCTCGAAATGCACTGGGCCTGATAAGGGGGAAAAAGATTGTACCCCAGAAGAACTGTAAGAACTAGATGGGATGTACTGGTAGGAACCAGGGGAATAGCCCTGGAACCGGATTTTCAGGATACTTGATCAAGAGGACCAGAACATAAGACTGGATAAGTAAAAAGTCATTGACTTGGAAGCATTTTCTTTGTACATAGGATTTAACACCCTGGTGAGGATCCCTGGAAATGGGGCAAACTCACTGCTAGGAGGCCTCTTAGAAACCTGGAAAAAGCGATGGCCAACACTCAGCAAAGTGGAAATCCCTGGGTTGCCCTGGCAGAAGGCAAAGGAAGGAACCAAAAGGTGCAGGGAATGGGGCCATGCCAGAACGGGTCTATTATGTGAGAGCAGAAGAACCACCAGTTTTATGTACCATGAGAGAGCCCAGAGGACACTCATTCACCAAGGCCATCAGGAACACACTGGTGAGAGGGACACCAATATCACTAAAAAGCTCAACAATGGTCTCTGCAGTCCCGGTCTAAACTTGGTAACAGCCATGAGAATGAGGGGCTCCTAAGTAATAGAAGCCAGGTGGGCAGCACTTAACTGCCAAAAGTCAAGCAACCACAATTACTGTCAACACCAGCAGTCAGAGTTATGGAGATGGTTAATAGAACATAACACCCCTGGGGCCAAACTAAATGGGTAACCAAGAAGATGCTGATTTACAATCAGAAGAAAACAATGGAGGGACAGGAGACTAATGGTCACCCTAACAAAAAGTTACAACTCCTTGCTCAGTTCCCACACCTGAGTCAACTTTCAGATCCAGAACCCAATGACTGAAGAAACAGCCAGCTCCCCTGGAAGGAGTAGCCTGCACCACTATGGCAAGTACTATAGTAATGAGTCACTCAATCCTTCCACATTTGGGTGACTATACACTGAAGAAAGGGGAATAATCAGTCATTTCAAGGACTATTGGACATTGGGTCTGAATTCACTGATATGCAGAAACCTGAATTATCATCATGGCCCCACATCACAATGGGGGTCCTTCCCTCAGCTTACTGAAGTGGGGTAACTGCAAGACCAGCTAGAGAAGAAAAAAGCCAAGCCTGGCAGATTCCTTGGCAGTGACCAATGGCCTGGCTGGCTGGTCAGGACATGGAAGAAAAAGGAATGGAAGATCATACACAAAGAAGGTGAGGTAGAGACTTGTGACTAGATACATAGGAATATGCGTGAATGTTAATACCTACCAGAACACATCCTCCATTGAAAAGGCACTGAACAAGGTGGACAAAATGACATATAGGAATGTGCATGAATGTTAAATGCCTACCAGAAAGCATCCTCCATTGAAAAGGTCAGTTGTTAACCAGCCTTCATCATCAGCCAGTTCAAAACTAGGATAGGCCCATAGATGAAGTACAGTGACAGAGACGGAGACTAAGGTCACATGGACTCGTACTTACCAACGATCTCCTGCCCCCTCCAAATGTCTAAACCAGCCCACAAGAGACATCAACAGAGCCCCTGATACGGTACTATTTTTCAAAGACACCAACCAGTATCTTCACAGTAAGTAGAATACATCAGGGCCCTTCCATCCTCGAAAAGCAAGAAGTACATCTTCACAGGAATACCTATTTTGGGTCCAGGTTTGGCCTTTCCTGCCCACAGGCCCTTAGCCAATACCACAGGTATGAAATTCCACACAACACAGCAAAAGGAGAGATCCATTGGTTATAGCACACACTGCCCCTCCATCCAGAAGCAGTTGGCTTCAGAGCTCTGTAACGACCTATTGAAAATACAGTTGAAACATCAACTTGGAAGAAGTACTTTACAAGGATGGGTGCCATTCTTCAAGATGTAGTATATGCACTCATCAGAGATCTCTATAACATGCTGTTCCCTTGGGAAGAATAAGTGGGTCCAGGACCAAGGGGTGGAAGAAAACTGGCCCTACTTATCGTTACTCCTAGTGACCCACCTGGGCATCCCCAACCCCATAACTTTAGGCTCTGCAAGGCTAAACATTCTGGTCTTGAAGAAGAGATGCACTCTTGCCAGGGGACACAGCAAGGATTCAGTTGAACTACAAGCTACAGATGCCACCCAGGCACTTTAAACTTTTTGCACAGGAATTAGAAGGAAAGGAGCCACTATCTTGGCAGCGTAATTGATCACCAGAAGGAAGTAGGGCTTTTTTCATACAATAGCAGTAAGAACCCAGGTAATCCACTTGGGTGCTGCATTTAATTTCCTGTTGCTGTCACAACCAATTAACCACAAACAAAGCAGCATCAAGCAACATAAGTTTATTATCTTACAGTTCTATAGGTCAGAATCCTGGTACAGATTTCGCCAGGCTAAATCAAGGTATGGGCAGGTTGCATTTCTTTCTGGAGATTCTAGGTGAGTCTGCTTCCTACTCATTCCAGAGTTGGCAAATTAAGTCCCATGCAGCATAGAACTGAGGTTTCATTTCCTTACTGGCTGTCAGCCAGGTGGACATCATATCCCTTGTTCTCAGTAATATGGTACAGTCTGAGGATCTTCCTACCCAATCCTCCTGTTTTCCCTGTGCCTAGTTAGAACCGGGACCTTGAAGGAGAATGGTAGCTATATGTCACCTTTCCAAAATTCACCACAGCTGGGTTTGCACTTAAATGGCTATCAGAATTTCTGGGGTGCCAAAAGTACAGATTCCCTGGCCTCCATCTCCCAGAAAGTGCTCAGGAGCCTGTTAATTTAACACAATCACCATAGATGATCTGCATGCTAGTGGTCTACAGATCACATTTTGTTTTAAAATAGGAAGGGAATATCTAATCTCCAATCCTGCTGCAGGAGCAGTAACGTTCTTGCTCACGGCTGTATGTAAAGCAATGTTTGTCTCTGTGGCTAAAATGTAAAAAGTAATAGACAAAGGAATCAAAAAAGCAGTGGGAACAAGAAACTGAAGAGTATCACTGGAAGACCTTAAAGGCAATCTTCTCAGGAATTCATTTGATGGGCCTTCTATGAGTTACTTTCAACCAGTTTCTGGACGTAAATACTTAAAGTCAAGATGATGGTGTAACTGGATAAACCCTTCTGTGCTACTCAGTTCAGTTCTCACAAAAAGTAATCTTTTGCCTCCTCTTTTTGCCACTATGGTCATGATGTACCATAGTAAGAGGTAAATCCTTAACCTTAACTAATCATTTATATTAACCCTACTCTAAGATTCAACATCAAAATGACCTTGGTAATGCCTATGCCTATCTCAGTAAGCCAGCATCAGGCCCAGTTTCTCTTGATGTTTTATGTATATCCCTAACCCTAGAGAATTTTGAAATGACAACCAGGCATTAATTGTGAGAAAGAAACGAGTGGGGGTAGGGGACACAAAGAGTGGAAAGTGGAAAGAAAATATATGGAATTGGTTGGCTTTAATAAGAAGTCCCATCTCTTTTCATTTACTTCATCCAGGTTATTACCTTATCCTTTAAACCAAAATGAGCTACTGAAAATTTACTTCCCAGGATGAAAATCTCTCTCTGCCGTTTTCTCTTTCCCATCAGAGACAGATCCCTAAAACCCAGAAAAAAAAGACAATACTCCCAAATACAAACAAAACATGCATTCAATTTAGGTAACTGTTTTATGTTTTCATAACATTTTCTTTAACATTTAATAGAAAGTATATACAATAAATTTTTACCACAATTTACATAAGATAGCCACCACCAAAATTTACATAGGTTCGAAGCAAGATGGATGGTTAAGGAGGGCCCAGTCCTGTTAGCTACTTTCTCAGAGGATAAAAGTCAGAGTGTATATACAATAAATTTTTACCACAATTTACATAAGATAGCCACCACCAAAATTTACATAGGTTCGAAGCAGGATGGATGGTTAAGGAGGGCCCAGTCCTGTTAGCTACTTTCTCAGAGGATAAAAGTCAGAGTTAACTGGGAAAAGAGGTTCAGATTACCCAATTAAGTGGATGTGAGGAAAGACTAAAATGCAGGACTTTACATAGAGATAACCAGACACTGGGGGCCATCAAAATCTCAAGGGCACCATTCAAACACAGCTCCCTCCTAAAGACCTACACAGACTCCTGTCCGACCTATGTGGATTCCTGTCCGTGATGGGAAATCCCATTACAAAGATATCTTTCCCCTTAGACAGCCCCAAATATTCACTCAATCCCAGAAGCTTTGACAGAGATTTCCTATCTCTTCCTTGCCCACAGTGGGAAGAAACCCAGAACTTTAGGACACTATTGCTCCATTCCCCCAAAATTTGGTTTTATGTTGGATTATAGCACTCAATAATCTGGAAAAAAAATAAAACAAGGTAGTCCAGGTTGCCCCTGGTTAGTGAGAGATGGTCAGAAATACTTGTTTGAAGAATAGAAATTCAAATTCACCAAAGTCATATGGTTCCCAAAACACACTATCAACTGATAGAAGTGGGTTCCGGCTTCCCATTTGCAGTAGCCAATCCACTTTGAGGCAATGGTGCAGAGGCTTTATCAGAATTTCGAGATCCTTGGGATCTGCAACCATCTCCAGCCATCTGCATCTGGCCCTGTTAAAAGAAATAAAGACACTTTGGTTAGAAATTCATGCATTATAGTCTGAAGCATGAATATGACTCATCTTTGCCCACTTACAGTACTATGCAACAAGAACAACAGAAATGAAGTAACTCTGGGCAGTTGCTCTTCCCCATACTTAGCTATCCCCATCCCTTAGAGTCAGAAGTCGTTATCTGTCGCATTCCTGAGGCTCTTTTAATGGGAGGAAGAGCAGTGGATTGTTTCTTTCAAATGAAATAGCTGTTCTCTACTGAGGTTCCAGAACAGCCAACAGACCATAAGAAGACAGTCCTATAAGGCCTCTGCTTGAAACCAACAGCTATAGTGTAACTGCTGGTCTTCAGTTAGGGCCACAGGTATGCCACCCAAGGCATTAAGAAGTCACATTATAGAATAAGGATCACATTACTGATTCTTACTCTACAATGAGACAATTCCAGTGCTGAATTCTCTCCTAAAAGGTATAACTTACCTAGATTCCTTGCCTCAGCCTTTTATTTATATAAATTTATATCCTACTCTGGGATATGGGGATCAGGGGCCATTAGGTGTTTTAAGGGCCCATCTGAAGAACTGGAGCAACAAGGGCCTTCAAGAGCAAAAAAAGTACGATTTTTAAAAGTACCTTCCTTATGTGGTATTCACTGAGCAAAAACCATTTGAGGCATCTTTATACTCTACTTGTGATGACACCCCACTCCCTGGAGTACATGCTAGTCATCAGCGAACTCTCTGCCTGGCTGGGTCACTACATGAGGAAAGCCTGGCTGGGATTGTTCTTCACTTGCCAAGATATCCACTGGGCCTTCAGCAATTTCTTTGATTGAATGATCTTCAAGGGTTAGAGAAGGATCAAAAAGCAAAGGTGAAGGAGGGCACTGCATACCATCACCCACGACATCCAAGTCCTAGGAAGGAAAGAGAAAGGCCTATCAATAATACCAGGGGAACCAATAAGCTAAAGCTGGCATATTTTTCAGCACACCTCAAAGCAATTCTCCAGTCCCTCCATCACCCCTTGCCTACCTTTAATCAAAAAAAAAGATTTTACTAGAATACCCAATGAACAAGAAAAGATCTAAAAGTACAGAGAATGTTTTCTTGCTGCCGAATATAAATAACAGACCGATATGGTGGCTAAAAAAGCAAACTTCCAAGTTCATAGAGACAGAAAGTAGAATAGTGGGTATAAGGGGCTGAGGGAAAGGGGGAGGGGAAAATTACTGTTTAATGGATACAGAGTTTTTGTTGGGGCTGATGGAAAAGTTCTAGAACTTTTGATGATGGTTGCACAACACTGCAAATGTTCTTAATATCACTAAATTGTACACTTAAAATGGGTTAAAAGAAGGAAATTGTCACATACATTTTATCACAATAAAAAATATTTATTAAAGAAAAGTGTATCACCTCTGAGGCTAAATGTAGTCAACATCTCAGATCACCAGTGATGAATCTAAGATGAGCAGGCAGTATAAATGTAAATTAAAATTAAATACTGCTTAAAAACATTGGAGAATGAGAATATTTAATTAATATCCCAATAGCCACAAAGCAAGCATGTAAGAGACGGAGAGGGAGGAGGAAGGAAGAAATAAAGACAGAAAACTTAAAGTTCCTTTGAATACCTAGAAGATATTATTTTGGTTAAGTCCCTATCCTCACACAGTAAGTTCCTGATTCTTAAACCTAACATAGTTCAACAACTCTGTAAAAAAAAACAATGACATTATATTCCAGACTATGTTTCTTCCAAATGAACTGGCCATTCCCACTGCAATACTGAATAGCCAACAGACCAGAAGGAAGACACCACTCTTGGCTCCTATTTGAAACCAACAGCTACAACAAACCACCGGTCTTGATTCAGGGCCTGTGGCACTGCAAAATCTCAAACAATATGTCATACTAACTTGCATGCCACTGCCTTCTAAGAGTCTAGTGCTAAACTCTTCCCAAAAGCTCAAAATATCCAAGGGTTTGTGCTTCCCTGTGCCCAGTCCACTTTACAGACGCTCTACATTTCTAATAATCTAGCGTCATTAGAAGTTTAGCTATATGCTTTTAAATAAATTTAAGATGTCTGAACTGGCCAGCCACCAAAAATAATAATGACTTTAAGAATTTGCAATCTTTTCCTTTTGGTGTGCTAAAATCATCACTAGAATCACATCTTCACAATAATTAAGGTAAGGAAAAAAAAAACTAAAGAATCTACTAAACTTAAAACTACTCAATTTAAGTAGATACATAGGGAAAAGGAGACAGTCGCTTTACCTAACATCCATTTCTGATGTACTGGAAACTTCTGCACCATCCACAGAAACCACATTGTTCTCATACTAGTAAGGCTGTGTTTTCTGCAATTCTTTTACAACCCACAATTACTATGTAAATAATGAGCTTGAGATGTAAAGGAAACCATTTAAGTAGTGAAGCCAAAGGGATACAAATATCAAGATAACAATGGAATGGAAATGTTTTCAAAAGAAAATAGATACAGAAAAGGCTTTTCTCACATATACACAGCGTTGTCTTTTACAAGAATTAAAACTGGGAAAAGGGGCCAGCACCGTGGCTCACTCCGTAGAGTGCAGTGCTGGTAGTGCAGTGCTGGTAGCGCCAAGGCCACAAGTTTGGGTCCTATATAGGGATGGCCAGTGCGCTCACTGGCTGAGCATGGTGCAGACAACACCAAGCCAAGGGTTCCGATCCACTTACCGGTCAAAAAAAAAAAAAAAAAAAAAAATGGGAAAAGGAACCTAAAAAAGGAGAAGAAAGGATCAGCAGAAATGCCTATATTATAGGAATGTCTAGAGACTGAAGTATCAGGATATAAAGACAGAATCCATGATTTCTTCTAACCTCAAAAACCATGGTGGGGCAGAGGGTAGGGGGGAGCAGTTCAGATCCCAGTATCAGCAAGCCACAAAAAAAAAGGAAAAAGGAAAAAAAAAGAAAGCTCAAAATAACAGGATTAACGGATTAAGTTGCTACTTGCCAACCATTCTTGGATCCAAAGCACAGAAAACAGGCAATGTAATATCCAGAACAAAAGGAGTGCGTTTTTACCCATATTAACATCTGATACCTGATCTTCCCACAAGAAAAGTTACCATAGGTTATCATTAACAAGTTATAAAAACAAAAACTTAGGCAAAATTTAAGTAATGAGTTAAGACTGCTTGTGAAATTCATATAATTCAGAAATAGTTATTTTTCTAGCAAAATTTTATACTGATAAATATATCCAGAATTTACAGAAGGACAAAAATGAATTTCTAGGGCTGGCCGGTTAGCTCAGTTGGTTACAGCGTGGTGTTATAACACCAAGGTCAAGAGTTCAGATGCCCATACAAACCAGCCACCAAAAAAAAAACGAATTTCTAAAACTGGATTTTGTTTCAACATTTTATGGAAAATTTTTACCCCCAAAGATTAAGAATAAAACTGTACTTTTTAATAACCTATGTAGTTTACTATCAAAAAGTGCATTAATATGAACATAACAAATGATCAACTACAAATAACTGAACAACAAAGGTCCATTTTAAAAACCCACTGGATCCTCAAAAATAAGATTATTGCGCTGGCCAGTTACTTAGTTGGTTAGTGCATAGTGTTATAACACCAGGTTCAAGGGTTTGAACTATTGTACCGGCCAGCAGCTAAAAAAACAAAAACAAAAAAACTACTTCTCGGCCCTTCCACCAAAGAATGACACAGCAAGAAAGCCCTTGCCAGATGCCAGAGTCATGCTCTGGTACTTCCCAGCCTTAGATACTTGTGTTATGCAGGCATAAGTGAATTGTGTGTCAGGGTAAGGGGTTGTTAAATCAAGGGAGGTGCTTTCCAAAAAATGCAACTACTTAATTATAATCTTGTAAAAATTAACTACAAGGAGTTCTGGTCAAGATGGCGGAATAGATGGTTCCCAACATCACTCTCTCCCACAAATCAATCAATTTAAAACTGTAAAAATGTAACAACAGCCAAGCTGGGGCCGCTGGAGCTCAGGGGAAGAGGACAGAGACCCGCGGAGTTCATGAAGGCGGGAGAAACAACTATGAAAGAAAAAACAGCTCTGAGCATTTCGGGCCATGGCCACTTTAATGCTGGAGCTGAGGAGTGCACGGAGCAGGAGCTGGCAGAAGCCATAGCTGTGCCCTTCAGATGGAGTTACTTGGAGGCGGCAGGAGGGAAGAGAGCCTTGGCAGCCCCCAGACAGCAAGACCACTAATAGGGTTCCCGTGGACCCACGCGGGAGAGTGGAGCCAGAACAACTGAAAAAAGGGGAGCCATTCAGAGGCCGGTGAGTCATCGCAAGGGACCGGTGCAGGGCCC